CCTTGTCATATCGAAGACCCTCAATTAACTTAAATAATAAATTTATTAGCCATTTTAGGATATAAGAGACAATTTACTCAAATTTCCTGTTTCTAATTTAAAAACCAATTTACCTGTCTTTCCAACTGCCACTTCTAAGCCAAGTTTTGAGATTGAAATAGAAGCAGTATTCTTGTGCTATTCAGAAAGCGTTATAGTGAATGATCAAGTCATTAAACCAAGTAACAAGGAGTTTATTTACTAAAAATTTTTGGCAAAATCAGTTCAAAAGGTTATTTCTAGACGGAGGATAGCAAGGATGATTTTCAAAAGGTAGAGGAGGTTTTTAATAATTTAGATCGAATATAAAAATATCTTCAAAATAAAAAAATAGTTGATAATACTTAGATAGTGAAAGAAGGAGCTATGAGAAATTTAAAATTTACAGAATTGAGTCCTGAAAACTAAAAATTGATTATTTGTGATGTTGAAAATTTTAATGTTAGATTAATCCAAAAATTCAAGGTTGTTGAAGAATCTGAAAGAATAGAAATCAAAACTTCATTCCTGACAAAGTTAATGCAGAAGTTTTCACTATGCACTTGCAATTGACATTTTTTGAATTATAATCAATTCATAATATGTCATTAATTCAAATTGCCATTTCTGGGTTTGGGTTTGGTCAGGACTGGCTAAGACTGTCTCTATAAGATGCCAGTAATATGGTCGGCCTCAGATTGCTTTTCCCCACGAGAAGGCTAAAAATCCCGGCGGCGAATTCCGGAAGACCTTCTACGAGAAGGCTAAAAATCCCGGCGGCGAATTCCGGAAGACCTTCTGTGGAAGCCCAACTGTTTAGCTAGACTTGTTCTGCCTGTTGCTAGGGTGGAAGCCCAACTGTTTAGCTAGACTTGTTCTGCCTGTTGCTAGGGTTTGGGTTTGGGTTTGGGGTAAAATTTGGGTTTGGGTTTGGGTTTGGGGTTTGGGTTTGGGTAAAAGGTTGGGGTTGGGGTTGGGTTTGGGGTTGGGTTTGGGATAGGGTTTGGGGTTGGGTTTGGGGTT